TCAGCCAGGCACTCTGTCTTATTCTTCATTTCTTGCTTGTGCAGAACCTCAAGGTCAGCCAGAAATGAGAGCTTAGTGCCTTCTCAGGTCTTTCCTCTGCATAGCCCTGGAAATGCACACAGCCTTGTACATGTAGGTGGGTTCTAGATTCCCAGGAATGTGTTGGAGCTTTCCAAAAGCCCCAACCAACACCTCATTTGCCAGCTTTTCTTTTTAAGTGTTTTGGTCAGCTTCTTTTTAGCCCAACTATATTGCTGCCTCAGGTAGCTGTGATGTTAGTTGCTGTTGACTGTGACAAATGCCCCTGAGGTAAAGGCTGTCCACTATGGGAATGCTGAATTAGGTCAAATACAGACAATAACTGTTGAGTGGGGGGTTTCAGGATACTGCCAGACATCTCAGTAACAGTTCTCCGGTAATGGAAATTTAGAGATGCTCCAACCCTAATCCTTCTTCCTCAAGTGGCTACCAAGCTGCTGGTTTTCACTGTCATTGCAGGGCTGTTGGTTTTCAAGTTTGCCATGGAATGGGATAAGGGATGTGGGAATAGGGCAAGTTAAAATGCCACTGTTCTTGTCAGTATTCAGCCATTATTCTTGAATAAATTCTCCTTGGATTGTTGCAGAGTTTGGTTTATTTCCAAAGTTATGATAATATTATCTTGACAGTTTTTGTCAGTGTCTGTTCCTTTTATGGAGAGAATTTTCTCAAGTCCTTACTCTGCCATTCCTGCTGTTACTTCCTGCTGCTTTCATTTGAAAGAATGTCTCATCACATAATGATAATATTTTTGAGATACTAAGTGGATGTACTTTTCTATCCCTACAAAGGTACAGGAAGTTTGGATTTGGCTTAGAACAAACCAGTTGTTCCTCAGTTTTGTATATCAAACTAGGAATAAAAAAAGAAAAATGCATAGCATCAGGATGATAGCTTTGTAAGGCTAGCAGGGAAGTGCTGGCCTGACTGGACACATCACTACTTGCTGTGCTCCACCTAGAGGGTATGTTAGCATTGCCAGAGAAGTATCGGTGTGGGTGGTCTGAGATAGCTCCTTGGTCTACAATCCTGAGCAGGTTTGCTGGGGACCTATACCTCCCATCTGCCAGCATACTTGAGGAGCCTGACAGGGATCAGAAAGGTAAAATATGAAGACTTTGCAGCAGACATAACAGAGAATGCTGGAACCTTGCACATTGTCCCCAGGGCTTGGTGGAAGCAGCACTGTTGTGATGAGGGGCATGTTGTTCCTACAATCTTCCACCGATGGGGTGCAATTGTGTACATGTGGCATTCCTTGGAAAGGGAGCAATTGTCCTGATCAAGAATTTGAACCTTGAATGGAATGAATGCATACATAAAAACAGACTTTTAAATAGGAGACTGACCAACTACTAAGTGGCATCCTATTCTCCAGTTCATCAAGGGGACAGGGGCCCATTTATAGAAACTAGAGTTAATTACTTACACATGAAAGTGATACAGTGAGCGTTCCAACTCTGCTTAAATGGTCTGCCTTCCGAGATGTTTTTTGGCCTTCCCTTCCCTGAGTCAACATGGTGGAAAATCTGCAAAAGACTTTATTACTGAGAAGGAAAAGACTTTGGGAAAGTCTTTAAAAATTAGTCTCCTTTTTACATAGTTTTTATGTAGAATATTATTTAATCTCATGAATTATTTAGATTAATCAGTAGTTTTAACTTATTCTTTTGCTAATTTTAGGCTTACTTCTAGACTTTTACAAATTATTATTTTATTTTCAAATAATTTTAATCTTAGAGACAAGTTACAGAATAATATGAAAAACTTTCATAAACTGTTCATCCAGAAACTCCAGTCAAGTTTTGCCAACTCTCTCAATAATGCCCTTCCTTTATAGCAAAGGACCCAATTCAGAAGCACATATTGCATTTTGTTGTGATGTTTCTTCAGTCTCCTTTAGCCTAGGATTTTTCAATCTTTTCTTAATTTCATGATGCTGAACCTTTTGAAGATTAGGGTCCTGTTATTTTATAGAAGATTCCCTCACTTTTGTTTGCCTGATGTGTCCTCCTGACTGGATTCAGGATATACCTTTTTGGCAGCAACAGCAGAGAAGTGAGGCTGTGCACTTCACATTACATCATATTAGGTGGAGCTTGACTTCACTTAGACCCATTACAGATGGTGTGCACTTTGATCACTTGATTAAGGTGATGTCCACCAGGCTTTTCCGTTGTGAAGTTGCTCTTTTCCCTTCTGTAATTAATGCTTTGTGGAAATGTCAGTATCTCATTCCTCATCTGACTTTTTACCCATTAGCTTTAGCAACTGTTGATGTTTCTTGTCTGAATTAATTTTTACTATGGTGGTACTAGATTATCTAAGGGCTCATTAGCACCCTCTTTTGTGCTGGCATACTGGTGTTCTGGGGACTCTGTAATGCTGTCTGTCGGGAGTTTGACACTTGAGTCTTTGTTTTCCTTTTTCCTTCATTCGCAGTCATCCTCATGAGTCATTCTCTCATGAGCTCCACCCCAAACTCTCAGCTCCAAAGTTCCCTCTACCTCCTTGTCTCTAACAGCTTTTCTCCATGTGCAGTGTCAATGCTCACACCTATGACTGTCTTTGCCTATGTCTGCCCCAGAGCTTTTTGGCCTGTGAAAGCTTCAGGTCCTCCACTTCTGCCCTTCTTATCCTTTTATGCCCAGCACTTCCTTGAGCTCATCAAGCTTCTCTTCCTCCCCCCAGGCACCCGCCTCTTCCTGCTGGTGCTGTGGAGAGCTTCTCTCCTCTTCCATCCTGTGCCCAGGACTGCGTCCCTTTGCCTCTCTCCCACCCTGTGTTCACTGCTCCCCCAGCACCACCACAGCATTGGCTCTCCCACTCTGACCCTCAGGGGACAGGTGCCCTGGCAGGGACCCTCGCAAACTTCCAACCCCTAGGTTCCCAGCAGCAGTCATTTCAGGAGTTGATTCTCTTCCCTCTCAATTTTATGACCCATGGCAGCTATCCCAAACTTTTCCCACTCTCCTCGGTGTTCCTCTCCTCCAGCACACAGCCAGACTCCTATTTCAGAGGGAGAGTTTGGGTCACCAATCTTGAACAGCCTCGAGTCTGTGTCTCAGTTAGTGTGCAAAACTGACCAATGATGCCAGGTGAACATGGTGGGTCTCCTCATCCCTCTGTCTTCCGTGAGGGGTTGGACTCTGAAGAGTTCAGGTTCTGTATCTAACTCTGAGCTTGTCACCCATGGCACCCACCCTCCACTCTGTGGCAGGGCTGTCCACATTCCCTCTTTCCTGCACTTTCCACTCCACATGCCACGGGCATAGTGAGAATTGCACAGGGACATCTGTGGTGGCAACAAGCACAAAAGGCTGCCGCACCCTGGCTGTGGTGGCTGACTCTCTAGGCACCAACCTGAGGTGGTGCCCAGAGGACACTCGCTGGCTCCAGACATACTCCTTTCCTGACTTCAGTGTGACATGATGGGTGTTGTTAGATACAGGTCAGAGGTTCACTAATCCGTAAGACCAGTCTTATTGTCTGTGTCACAGGTGCATGCTTGAATGAGAAGAGAAAGTGGATGGAAATTTCTTTTTGCTTTGCTCTGCATTTGTAATCTGAAGTGCTGTTATTTTGCCAGATAAGTGTATCACAGCATCCACAGAGGTTCCACATGGCCTGGACCATGGAAGGGCAATGTACAAAATGACATATTCCCAACAATTAGGAATGAAAATGATTTCCACAGCTTTTCATGAAAAGCTGGCTGCTTTTTAACATCTTATGTCTTTTGATGAAGGTGACCATGTATGCAGGGTGGGGGGCTCTGTTGTGCCTATGCCTTTATTTCCCTCTCACAAAGTTCCTGATTTGGATGATAAGTTTATGGACAGGCCAAGGCACAGCAGAAGGGGGTCTTGTGCAGTGTGAACCTCTGCTTTGCTTCAGTTGTGGCGTCTGTTCCCCTGTGAGCCCCCTCCCTGCTATCCTGGTTATCATTTCATTATGACTCTATCAGCCTCACTTCTGCTGTTTAATCTCTCAAGGGAAGCTATTAGGATATTTTAAATGTGTGATATTTAAATATTGTGATCTTAGGAAACAGAATTTTCTGAATATAAACAGGCCCATCAGATTCTGAATGGTTTTCTTGAGGAAAAACTGCACGGAATGGCAAAGATGGGTGGAACATATTTTAATGCTAAAGTGAGCCTAAAAGTATTGATCCTACAGCATCTAGTCTATGTGAGTTTCTGCTTTGCACTTCCAATCTGGTTTAGGCTGGGGAGGAGAGTTGTTTCTAATTTTCTTTCCTAAAACTCCAGCTTTTTACAATTCAGATATAATATGTGAAATTTACCACTGACTCTTTTTTTTCCCAACATCTTTATTGGAGTATATGGCTTTACAATGGTGTGTTAGTTTCTGCTTTGTAACAAAGTGAATCGGTTATACATATACATATGTTCCCATATCTCTTCCCCCTTGCGTCTCCCTCCCTCCCACCCTCCCTATCCCACCCCTCTAGGTGGTCACAAGTCACCGAGCTGATCTCCCTGTGCTATGCGGCTGCTTCCCACTAGCTATCTACCTTACGTTTGGTAGTGTATACATGTCCATGCCACTCTCTCACTTTGTTCCAGCTTGCCCTTCCCCCTCCCCGTGTCCTCAAGTCCATTCTCTAGTAGGTCTGTGTCTTTATTCCTGTCTTACCCCTAGGTTCTTCATGACATTTTTTTTCTTAGATTCCATATATATGTGTTAGCATACGGTATTTGTCTTTCTGTTTCTGACTTACTTCACTCTGTATGACAGACTCTAGGTCCATCCACCTCACTACAAATAACTCAGTTTCATTCCTCTTTATGGCTGAGTAATATTCCATTGTATATATGTGCTACGTCACCTAAGTGTCCATCAACAGATGAATGTTCTTGAATCTAGCCACAACCATCAGTGAGCACAGCCATCATTTTGTGTTGGTGATCCCTTTCCTTCACTGTGTTTTTCAGGTCTCACCCTCCTTTCCCCCAGTTCTTCAGCTCCAGTTCTGAAGACCCCTGCTTTACAGAAAACACACCTTTGCTGAGGAATTTCTCACAAGAGAAAGGGTGAGGTGTTTTTTCCTTTCTTTCTTTCTTATAAAATTAAGAAATCTCCGAGCATTATCCTTTGCACTCATGCTGGAGAATTTCTTCCTGAGATATGAATTTTTACCTGACATGTACGGTCTCTGCTAGATCCTTGTCAATTCAATGTGTGTTCATGATGCTAGTGGTTGTATTCTGTGCCTTATGAATTTCCAAGTAACCTTGAGCATAACCCTGCAATGATTGAATAGCGCATGTACACACTCATGAATGCACACAGCTGGGAAAGGCCATCTTGCCAGGCCAGGGCTTCTCAACCAGGGTTGAGGTTGGCACTGTCAGGAGACATTTTTTGTTGTCACTAGTGGGGGAGGGGCACTACTGGCATTTAGGGTAGAGGACAGTTTTAAAAGAAAACTCTACTTCCTGTAAGTTTGAAGTTCCTTTTTCTTGTTGTGAACCAGTCCTAAAGCAGTGATAAGAGTTCAGGAGAATGACAATGTCCTGTTGAGCTAGCTGGGTTCGAAAGGCATAGATTGAGAGGCGTAACATAATAGATTGTGGCTCTTGTGTCAATATTACCACCCCACAAGTATTCCATGTATTTCCACAGGAAAATTCTGGGCTTGGTGCAGCCTTACTAGACTGAGAATCTGTACTGAATGAGTTGTTCAGTTGTTCAGGGATTCAACCAAAATTAAATGGATATATCCACATGTAATTTTTTTTTTTTTTTTTTTTGCGGTACGCGGGCTTCTCACTGTTGTGGCCTCTCCCGTTGCGGAGCGCAGGCTCCGTACGCGCAGGTTTAGCGGCAATGGCTCACGGGCCCAGCCGCTCCGCGGCATGTGGGATCTTCCCAGACCAGGGCATGAACCCGTGTCCCCTGCATCGGCAGGCAGACTCTCAACCACTGCGCCACCAGGGAAGCCCATCCACATGTAATTTTGATAAAAGTTTATGATACCCCTTGATTCATCTTTCTAGATATAGGTCCCATTCTTGGGCCCATCTAGTCCAGTACTGATGTCCCCCACTCCTGCTCATGCTCATGTAGATGTTGGGTGGGAAAGCTAGGTAGACCATCTCCCCTACAGCTCCATTACAGATAGATACCTACAAAGAGGAGAAAAGGCTTATGCCACTCACTGTGCTTCAGTGTGTATAACAGGACCAGGTATTGAGAACTCCAGCACAATCAAAGAGGAAGCAAAAACTGAAATGAGCTGGAGCTGGTCTGAGCCAGAAAAAGCTGTACTGGAAAATTCCAAACTCAGAACAAGCTGATGTTTCTTGAAGGTCCACAATTTATTTTTTTTTAATTTTTTTGCGGTACGCGGGCGTCTCTCACTGTCGTGGCCTCTCCCGTTGCGGAGCACAGGCTCCGGACGCGCAGGCTCAGCGGCCATGGCTCACGGGCCCAGCCGCTCCGCAGCATGTGGGCTCTTCCCGGACCGGGGCACGAACCCGCGTCCCCTGCATCGGCAGGCGGACTCTCAACCACCGCGCCACCAGGGAAGCCCCCCACAATTTATTTTGAAGACTGTGTGACCCCAGACAATTTCCCTCCAGTCCAGGGTCTGTGATGTCAAGAAAGACCCATTCCCACCAGTCTGACAGTACTACAATATCGGTGGTCCTTTGAAAAACAAGTATTGATTATATATTTCACTCTCACCCCTGAGATGAAGTGTTGCTTTGGAGATGCTACTATTTCCATGAAAATAACCACAAAGCCTCGATTTCCAGGTTACGGTGTGTGCCCGTTTACCACCCAGAGTTCATCACTGCTGAAGAATCTTGGGAGAACAGCTCAGCTGCGTGGGAGGGCAGATCCCTGCTGAGCAGAGAGTTGGTAGGTTCCTCTGGATCCGCCTCCTCAGAGAAGGGGGAGCTTCTGGACAGCGCTCACATCGGGTTCCGTCTTTCCAAGTTGAGGTAGGAAGACTTGGAGTGCCAGCACTGGCACAGGGTGTTGGTCGCACAGTGCACGCCGCCCACCTGGGGCTGGGCTGGGGAGTGGGGTGCGGTGCGGGTATTGCCCGCGCGACATCGTTCCCGAGGACAGGGTGGAGGTGAGGAAGAAGGGTAGGCGGCACTTTCCTGGAAGGTAATCTTCCTTTCCTCCAGGCCCTGGAAGACAGATAAAGTGGTGTTCGAACCAGCATGGAGCCTTTAAGGCTACAAGAAAACCCAATTACAGACCTAAATGACGAGCACCCTACACGCCTGTCCTTTCTTTTGTGTGGCTGTGGGGTCTTCAAGCCCATGAGGCTTTGTGGATGAAGTAGTCCCCGTGGTGTTTTAGAAGCTGACATTATAATTTGTATTCAGTGATGAAGCACGTTATTAGAAGGGTTCTGCACAGGAAGGAGAAAGAGGGTTTTTAGGGGTGATGCAGCTGCAGGTGGGGCCGAGAGAGGCCGAGTCCTCCGTGCATGCGTAGGAGGGCAGAGGACGCACATGTGCTGGGGATCTGAGGGAATTTTGCAGCACCCCCCGCGCGGGTCGGAGCAGCAGAGATCTCTCCCTTGTTTGTCTGTTGAGGCTTCTGCATGAGCGTGTACTTGAAGGAGGGGTTCCGTTGAGAGCCACACATTTGAAAGTGGCATTTTCAGGGACACAATACCAGGACCACCAAGGTCCCCATTATGTATCTGCTCCAAGGTAGCTGAGGAACCAGCAGGGCTGGGCATGTCCGTGCAGCTGTCTCCTTGTCGCCTGGCATTCCCCTCGCTCCACAGCCTTCCGTGGGCTTCCACTAAAATGGTCTATGTGAAAACCCATGGATAGGTGAGAAGACACCATGAAGCTATCAAATATTAGTGTTATTATTTCTCTACATTAGGGGGCCCAGCTTTTCTGAAGCTCTTTGAAGGGCTGATTAGAAGTGTACCTACCTGCATCCCAAAGTGTATCCGTCTTTACCTAGAGAGGCCCACTCTCAGTTGTCCTACTGATCTTTCAGGCAATCCTGAGAGGTAGGTGAGGTACTTTAGAGAGGGTAAGGATTTTGCCTGAGGTCATGCAGGTTGTGAGAGGAGCAAAGGGGTGGGGGGAGGAATGTGACCCCAGGTCCCCCACCAGTGCTTGACCATGGAGATGTCTTTTCCCACCATGCCTCCCAGCCATGTGTAGTTTCTTCACCTTGACTGGTCTTAGCTCTTCTCATAGGTGTGACAAATATTGGCTGACTAACGTGCTATAAAATTATTTGAATAATGTGAAAGTGTGTGAACAGGGACCTGGCCCCATAGGTCACCATGATGGTAAGTGCTGACACTGTTAACACCCTTCTCCAGCTGGCTGCCTCACAAATCCAGAGGGCGCGAGCTTCCTCAAATATCCCATAGCATGGAAAATAGAACCAAGTACATTTAAGCCTTTATATTCAGAGGTTGTTTTATCTTCTACAATTCATAGAATAGTTGCCTCAAACTTGCCACTTAACTGAAAGACTTAATGCCATTCTTTTTAACATGTCCAGAAAGTACTACACATGTTTGTTGAAGAAACTTGTAAAACTTATTTTGGAAGGTCAGCTCTGCTGTATATGTGAGTTATGTAGAAAGAAATTAGTATTTAAAATAGTTCAACTGGGGCAAGACAGGAATAAAGACGCAGACCTACTAGAGAATGGACTTGAGGATACGGGGAGGGGGAATGGTAAGCTGGGACAAAGTGAGAGAGTGGCATGGACATATATACACTACCAAATGTAAAATAGATAGCTAGTGGGAAGCAGCCGCATAGCACAGAGAGATCAGCTCAGTGCTTTTTGACCACCTAGAGGGGTGTGATGGGGGGCTTGGAGAGAGGGAGATGCAGGAGGGAGGAGATGTGGGGATGTGTGTATATGTATGGCTGATTCACTTTGTTATAAAGCAGAAACTGACAGACCATTGTAAAGCAATTATACTCTAATAAAGATGTTTCAAAAAAAAGTATTAAAAATAGTTCAATTAATGCTTCTTGCTTTAAAAGGAAATGTTTTTTGATTCCCATTTGAATAGGAGCTATTGATCATAATTTGGAAGGGTGAAATATTACTCATCAAATTCATTAAATCTGAGAGAATGCAAAACAAGGTTTTACCATTTTGAAAGGATCAGAAAGGTTTTGAAAAAGATATCCCTATATAGACTTTATTCCTTTGTTCTACAAACATGTGTCAAGCACAGGCTGTGTACCAGCACCCTTCCTTTTGCAGGGACAGAGCACAAATACCCCAGGGCTTGCTCTTGAGGAGTGGCCAGGGGAGAGCACCCCCCCAGCACTAGGCAGTGATTGTATCTTCAGGAGGTAGGATCTGGTGGACCCTGGGGAGGTGACAGGAGCAGAGATAAGCCTGGAGTGGCTGCCAGGCCCACATTTGCCAAGGACCTGAGGGCCACAATTAAAAAGTGTGTGATGATGACTGGGCCAGGGTGCCATCATGAGTCCTAAGAGGGCCTGAATGTCTATTGAATTATCTCCTAAGGAATTCTTACAGGACTCTGCTGGTACAACCGGTTATAGCATTGCAATTTCTTTCTTGAATTGTTTGGTTATGTCTCAGTCGATGTTTATTTGATGATCAAATCCATATGCCTACCTTCCAGAAAACTTAGGGGAGAATAATTGATAAATATGAATCTGAGAGCTGAGATAAAGCTTGTTTCCAGGAAACTAGAGCCTTTAAAAGGCTAGTGAAGAGGCTCAAATCTTGAACTTCAGCATCTCTGATAAGAAGCAGTGTTCAGACACTCAGGGTTAAGTTTGTTCCGCTCTATAACCTCCAGCAATCTGCTGTTGTCCTCAGCAGTATCCTCTTTCATACCATGTTATGGGAAGAATTTCACACATGTGCTTTGAGATAGACATTACCCAAGGCTTCAGCAGGCATCTGAGGTTTGACAGTTCGGGGCACATGCAAGCAGGACTGCTGTCAGTGTGACCTGGGGCCTGTCTTTTCTCTTGCAGGTGCTGTGTGCAGTGGCTGAAAGTCACGGGCTTATTTGTCTTTGTGGTGCTGTGCTCTGTGAGTACCATGGCACCCTGAGCTCTGCTGTCTGCTCAGCAGAGCCCCCGGGTGCATTGTGCTGGGTAGCAGGGCACCTGAGGTGTGGGGCTCACACATTTCTTTGGAAGGGTTACTGAGGGTGTGTGGGATGGCAGCCTGGGGGTGGCTAGGGAGGCCTGCCCTTAGCAATGCTACTCTGCTGCTGTCCCCAGTCATACAGTGGAAGCCCTGAGGACCTGGCTTTGCTCTGTGGAAGGCAGTTAGCTTGCCCGCAGGTCTCAATTCCCACCTTAAGTGGCTTACCAAATTCTCTTTTCAGCCATGTGCAGTAAACACTCTTTAGTTGTGTTGGGACATGTCCAGCAATCATGGGTGCCCCCAAGAATGTCTCAGTGCCCCTTTGGGATGGCTCCCAGCTGAACCACCCTGTTTGGGAGAGAGTGAAGTTCTATGTTTGCCCTTTCCTGGAGGCTGCTCTGATTTTACTTGCCCATACATCCCCAGGGAGGGCTGCAGAGCCAGGGCCCTGGAGGTGACCTAAGTGTTCCCTCTGACTTGAGGGGTCACAAGTTTCACTGCCAGCATTTGTGTAGTGTGTGCCCTGATGTAGCCCTAGCCGAGATCACATTGTAGGCACTCAAAATATATTTGCTGAATGAGTGAGTGTGAGGCCCTCCATTTGCGTGTGTGCATGGGGGTGTGAGGTCCCCATGTCTGCCTGTGTGTCTGTGTGTGCGCACATAGGTGTGAGGTACCAAGTGCCTGGCTGTGTGTTTGTGTGTGTGCATGCCTCTGTGGGACGTGTGGGTCTTTTGCGGTCTGTGAGCATTTTGAGGTTGTGTGTGTGCCTAGGGACTTATTGTTTGTTAGAGTTAATAGTTACTTATTTTTAGCATTGGCATAGGACAGTTTGTGTGGGCCAGTTTTGGGAGACACCAGTAGGTGGTTGGTATGTGCCGCTGTGACAGGTTATGAGATTGTGAGCAAGGAAGGGGTGGGTGAGTGGTGTTTCCATAACTGTGCCCTGTGCACTCCAGGACTGGTGTGGCTGTGGCTTTTCTCTGTAGGCAGCCTGTGGTGACAGCCATGCTGGCTGCCCTTTGTGACTGGAAGCTGTGTATGTGACCATGTGTAGCTGTGAGTACATGGTCCCCATTATCTGTGTGTGTGGGCATGAGGGTTGGGGCTCTATGTGTGTGCAGGATTGTACATGACAAGAGTCTTCTCAGTGTGACATATAGGGAACAATGTTGCATTTCAGACAGCAAGGGTACATAAAGTCAATACTGGCTGCATTGAAATGAGTAGAGGCATTCTTTAATAATCCACATGGGAGGAGACCAGTGGCACAGAGAAAGGAAATCTAAGCACAGAACAAAAAAAACAAGTGCACCGAACTCTGAAAACTTCATGAGTTTACTTTTTTGGCTGCCAGTTTGCCTTTCTACTTCCTATTCACACAGTTGTGTGGTTCTGAAACCCCAGCTGCTTAGCATAGCCTGGTGGGTGGGTGTATTGGGGTATCCAAGGAGGAGGTATGGGTGGCCCAAGTCTCCCCTGACCCCTGAGAGCTGACCTGAGCTCTGTGTCTAGTCTTCATCCTTCTTCTGGTAATTGAAATTTTGGTGACTTGTGGACACAACCCAAAACAGAATTTGAGGAATTTGTTTTGAACTTCTGTAATCTGTTATCTCATCGTCACTTCTACTTTCTGATGAAGTATGAGATACTCTGCAAATTCCACAAGCATGTGCTCCCACCATCATATGGGTTGTATTTCCCACTCTCCAGTATGGGAAAACCATGTTTACACTCCTCTGATGATTTAATTTTATGGCTGGGTATTTAATCCTTAAAATTGGCAAATATCAATAATCAAGGCCCATTGTAGCAGAAAATAGTATAATGGATCAGAATTTTATCTTTTAATATCTCAGAAAAGCTATTTAGAGTAAGCTGGTGAATTTTGGATACATCAAGCAGCACCATTATCATACCTGTATTTTCAGCTCTTATCAAAGTTACTTAAATCCTATTGCTCTCACACCACAAATCTATCATTAAATGTTTCTGATTGTTACAGATTTTATTTAGCCTGTATCCAGATCAAGGAAAGTTCTGGCAGTTGCTGGCTGTGTCACCGCTGGAAAGCTACTGTATCCAAACCTGTACTTAGATGGACAGTCGCCCATGGTTGAGTCACAAAGTGAAGAGACCCAAAAACTATCATGACTGTTGCCCAAGGTCACAGCCTAAGCAATTACCATTCCTCCCTGTGTGTGTTTTGTTCCCCCAGGACATTTGGTGAAAGATGAGCCTTCAGAACAGAAGGGGAGGGGCACTAGTGAGACTGCGATGGGTGGGTGGTGGGAGGTTCCCCATGGAAGTGTGACAGCAGCCAAACAGCGCGTTTTAGTTAAGGCCTGGCTTCCTGTGGTTCTTGGATACTCTGTTCTGTTCCTTGCCCCCACCCTCTTGTGTTTTGGCTTGGGTGGTTCCTCTTGACCTATCTTTAAGTTCATTGGTTCTTTCCTTGGCTGTGTCATCTGAGTTTGATGATTGCTTGGTTTTTTATACTCTGGGCTCTCTTGCCTTTTTGTAGGCCTCAGCTGCCATAACAGAATACCACAGCCTGGGTGGCTTATAAATGAACAGACATTTATTTCTCACAGTTCTGGAGGCTGGACATCCAAGGTCAGGTGGGCTGATTTGATTTCTAATGAGGGCTCTCTTTCTGGCTTGCAGATGGTCACCTTCCTGCTCTGTCTTCACAGGGCCTTTCCTTTCCTGTGTGTGTGTGTGTCCGTGTGTGTGTGTTTATGAGTGTGTATGTAGAGAGAGTGAGAGCTCTCTCGTATCTCTTCTTACAAGGACACTAATCCTATCAGATCTGGGCCTCACCCTATGACCTCATTTAACCTCAGTTACTTCCTTAGAGGCCCCATCTCCAAGTATAGCCACACAGGTGCTCAGGGCTTCAACATATGAATATGGGGGACATGGACATTCAGTCCATAGCACTGAGGTAAAGTTTTAAGCTTGGAGATGATCACACCTTAACTTCTATGGGCCTTAGTTTTGGGGTGGGGGGAGTCGTGTAAATCTAGTTAGAGGTTGGCTGGGTTGTGGTTTGTAGTTGCCATGGTAACCCTCAGTGTCCCAGACAGTTGGAATTTCTTGGCCTCTTTCCATCTGTCTACTGCTCATCATGAGTCCAGGAACTGGGCCAGGCGTTTTATGTTGGCTGCAAAGAGTAGAAGCAGAGATGATAGTAGGATGGCAGACACCACCTGAATGTTAAATCAGAGGATCCAAAACACAATTAAACAAAGCAAAACCAATTGTGCATGTCAGGGGTGAGGGGCTGAAGAGGTAGGAGCAGTCAGGGCAGTGGCACAGGTGGAAGGGATGGCCTGGACATACATTTCCTTATGCACTTTCCAAGATGGGTGTTCCCTGGGAAGGTGGGAAAGGTTGGGGGGGGGCACCCTCCAGGCCTCTCCTCCTTGCTTTGTAGTTCACCTTGACAGCCCCCCAGCTGTGAACCTCAGCAGCCATGCAGACTCCATGCTGCTCCAAGTGGACCTGGAAGGGGCCCTGGTGGCCAGTGGCCCAAGTCATCTCGGGAGAGAAGAGCACGTGGTGGTGGAGGTGACACAGGCTAATGCTCCAGGCTCCAGGCGGTGGCGGCCACAGCAGGTTACACTCATAAGTTATTTGAAAGGAATTGTAAAAACTCATTTCACCTCTTTATAAATTGAGTTTCCTCTCTAACTGATTTGATGGGAGCCATAAGGCAATGACACCATTATTAGGCAAGTCCTTATCTTTTGCTTTGTCTTTGAAATTCTCTTTTCTCTAAGACAGTTATAAAACTCTCACCATTTCAGTAAAGTCAGGCTTTTGAGGGTTTTTTTTTTTTTTTTAATTTAGAGTGATTTTACTGGGCAATTCAGGGAAACATTATATATTTGAAAGTGCAGTTAAACCTGAGCCTTCAAATATATAATGTCTCCTTCTGTACCATGAGGTACTCCAATACCACGGTCCCCTTGAGTTTGTGGACACTTGGCTAAGACTGTGTCTGGTTTCCCCAAGCTTCTGCTTCTATAGCAATAGGACCTTGTGCTCAGCATCTAAGCCAAAGCCTTCAGTTCACATCCTGTGAAGGCTAGGAGAGCCAGCAGTGGCGTTGCCACCATGTCCCGGAGCCCAGACAAGGCCTGGCCCCTCTCTGTGCCTCCTGACTTGTGCCCCAAGTCCTGGCCTCAGTGACTCCCCTGGATTATCATGACGACTTCTATATGAAGTCGTATCCCTAGTTCATGGGTTTTCCCTATTATAACTAATAGAAGGAAACCCTGCTGGTACACAAGGCTGTGTCATCCAAAATGGAGTGTGGTGGGTTACTGCCCCATCACATTTTTCTGCCATGCAGAGAAGTGTCCCCAGAGCCAATGTGTCATTATGAAGAAGGCTGCGGTTTCACGGGCAATGGCTGATGTTGCACCGATGTTCTAAACCGGTGGCTCTGGCTGCGGCCTTAGGACATAAACTTGGCTCCCCTGTTTGCAGCCCACAGCTCACTGGCTCCTCGGTAAAGATGAGGTAGGCACATTTCATCTGCTGTTGGCTCCTTTTGTGACCTTGTGTGGAGGAGGGCATGACCTTTTTCAGCCTGCTGACATAGTTGCCTGCTCCAGAAACACAACACAGGAGATCTTTACTGAAGGATTTTTTTCTGATACACTCTTT